GCCAATGTTGTAGGCTTCAAGCGATCCTTTTTTTTTTCTTGACCAACTAATAAAGGACAGTATGTACCGAGTTAATAATAATTTTTTTTTAAATATAAAAAAATCTTAATAGTATAAAGAATATATTAAATGATTTGAATTTTTTTATAATATTTTTATTTTTTATAAAACAAAACATTAAAACTTTTATTGAAGTATTCTAAATATTTTTTTTTATTTTTTATAAAAAAATATTTAACTATCATTAAAGTGTGTGTGTATATATATGTATATATGGGTTTGACAACCAATAATTTTTTTTCAAATGCAAAAACAAATATTAATAGTATAGAGAATATTTTAATTGTTCTAAGAGCACCGGTGAAACTAGATACAAGAACATTGAATTTGATAGTCATGCCAAACTTAAAAGCATTATGTCTGGTAGCTAAGCTTGACCCAAAAAACTTGGGTTTGGTAGTCATGCTTCATAATTTTTTTATTTGTTATAAAAAAATATTTAAACTACCTTAAAGTATTCAAAACAAAAACACTAATTAATTTTTTTTATGATTTTTTAAATTGTTTTGAAAAAAAATATTTAAACTACCCTTAATGTATCATAAATAATTCTTTTTATAAAACACTAATTCCCAAGCTGGACCAAATATCCTAAATAGAAATGCTAATTAATTTTTTTATAATTAATTTTTATTTTTTAAAAGAAACATTTAAACTATCCTTCATGCATTATCAATAATTTTTTTATAAATTTTTTCTATTCCATAAATATCCTTAATAGAAATCTTAATTTATTTTTTATTAATTGTTTTTATTTTTTATAAAAACAAACATTTAAATTATCCTTGAAGTAACCTAAACAGAAATTCTAATTTTATCCTTGAAGTAACCTAAACAGAAATTTTAATTATTTTTTTTAAATTTTTAATTTTTTATAAAATATATTTCAATTACCTTTGAAGTATTCTAAATAGAAATGCTATTTTATTTTTTATAAATGATTTTTATTTTTTAAAACAAAACATTTAAATTATCTTTTAAGTATCCTAAATAGAAATCCTAATTAATATTGTTTTTTGATTTTTTGTTAAAAAAATATTTAAACTATCATTGAAATATTCTAAACAAAAATTCTATTTTTTTTTTTATAAAAAACACTTAAACTATTCTTAAAGTATCATAAAAAAAATATGCTAATTAATTTTTTTATATAATTTTTTTTTATTTTTCTATAAAAAACATTAAAAATATTTTTGAAGTATTCTAAATATTTTTTTAAAATTGCTTTGAATTTTTATTTTTAAAAAATATTTAAACTACCCTTAAATAATCCTAAATATAAATATGATTATTGAAAAAAAAATACCCCTGACACATCGTAAATTATTTTTTAAAAAAATTTCTATTTTTTATATAAAAAAATTATTTTAAATAATAATCTTAATTTATTTATTTTTATTAATTGTTTTTATTTTTTTTATAAAAAAAAATAACATAAACAGAAATTTTAATTTTTCTTTTATTGTTTATAGATTTTTAATGCTGGTAGAGAAGCCAAATCTAATAGCTTTAAGTTTAACAATCATACTCTGACATACACAGGCCAGCAACTTACACTAAAAAAAAAAAATAGAAAAAACACCAGCCCACATAATCCCTGACAATCTATAATAAAATCTAAATTACAAATACTATATCTATAGTGTGATGAATTACATGATATCTGCACAGTATTTTCAAGTCTCTTAAAATATAGTATAATATGACTGACACGAATGTCAAGCCCTTCATGAGCGCGGCAGATACTAGAAGAGCCTCAGGGCATACGAGTTCTTGGTTGCTCTTTTCCACCTCCGTACTTCTTCACTCAACCCAGTTTTAGATGGAAGTGGTAGAAACCTGTAGCCTTATTGTAACTGCATCAACTTGGCGCAAACATAAATTTAAAAGAGGGAATAATAGAAGATGCTAAATCGCATTTCCAAGTTCAGCAGTTCATGTTCGAAAACAAAGGCCAATTGTTTATAAGGTTTAGAATCAAGATCCATAATTGACGGTGGCACTTTGGAAGTTGAGAGTAGCAGTCGCATTCCAATCCCGAGGGCATCAGCTATGGTGCAACTTCGACATTATTACTTCTCTGCTCAAATAGTCGAGTTCTTTCATGCAACTCCCTGAAAAACATTATTGGGGTTAATTTGTGAACATGACTGCTGAAAGGAATTACGGTCAAATATGCCGAAAAGAAATGACTTTATATTTACCAGCTATGGTTAAGTTGCTCTATAACCATTTGTGCCCGGTACCCACTGAATATTGGAGTTAGGGTGTGGTTGTTTTGAATCCTCTCCCAGCTCACAAAACAGTGGAGAAGAGCAGTGTTAGTGGTGTCAGTCTGTCAGCAGAATCAAAATGCTCTACACAGATAGTTTAGCTGAGATGTTAGATGAACACTGCTGCTCTATTGGGCCAGTGAGTCCACATAGTCTACTCCTCTTTGGCTCCAACATCTTTAACATGGGAAATCGCCACTGCAAGAGCGTCAACCAAACCACATTCACCATGCTCTTCTGACATGCAGCTCAAACTATCAGATGGATGCTGATTCAAGTCCTCTTCAGGAGAGCCAGCTCCCACCTGGTTTCCAGGTGACACAAATACAAGTGCATTTGCAAGTTGGCAGGAAGTTGCAGCACCTTGATTCTTTGTTTTTGATCTGATGGACACTGTCTTAAAGGTAAGCTCCGTGTAAAACAAAATCCATGATTGCCCTTAGAAGATACCAATTAACAGTCAGTTAAATAGACAGAAACAGCAATAAACTTACAAAGTACTCCACATTCCCACCATCAGAGAGTCCAAGAAATGAATCAAGATCACAAACAATGCACAATTCGGGAGAGTTAACAACAACTTGGTGAAAAAGGATTTAACCATCACCTTCGCAGAAAGACAAGGTCCCATGGATGGTAAACCTAGTGAAAATGGTATCCCTAAGTTCATGCATGTGCTTTAACATCTCAAACAAATTTACACTATCAGAAACTGATGCAGGAAGAAAACAATGAGATCAGAATTACAAATTAGGAAATTTGGAGCTGCTTTTACTCAAAACCAGCACTTCAAGGCCAGGAATCGAGGACTGTCCCACTATTACTTTGCGGAGCCATTGCAAATTGAGATTAAAAAGGAAAGATGAAAAGATTTTTTTGGTTTGACTCATAAAACAGGACACATCATGCATCATTTATCTAACTTAGCATGGCAGTTCATCACAGGCAACGCACAGAAGATAAAAATTCTTCTTTCAGTGAGAGAGGTAGTAACCCAGAGAGTAAATACTCTGATATAAGTGAACAATGGAGATTTCTTTGAGGACGTACACGCTGACAATCACCTAAAAAGCTTTACATGAAGTTACTGCTAAGCAGACAAGGGCCACAGAGAGGTTCCCTTAAAATGCGAACTGCCTACTCATTAAAGAAGCTATTGACATCCTAGAAAATAGGATATGCATTTGGCAACGTTGTAATCACTAAAATGCAATATTTCAGAAATATTTACCCTACATAGATGACATCAAAGGCTACTAGATCTAGATCAGAATAGCAGCTAAGCACAACAAACTTTTTACTTAATTGTATTCTCATTCAAGAACCTTCAAAATACTTTAGATGGCATTAAGAGTTGATTAATATTAGATTACAAGGGATCACATGCAGCATAGAATATAAAGCTTTCCTCCTTTTTTTTTTTCCTATCTAGAAACTACATGTGTGTGTCACTAATCATGCATACATGTGTCGGAAGGGGAGGAGAAAGAGAGGGCTGCAAAAGAAGCCTGAGAGATTCTAAAGACTCTGGAAAGTGGTCTCGAGGGGAAACGATTCTTTGGAGGTGAAACAATAGGCATCGTGGATGGCTAGATTGGAATCTGGGCTTGAATGGTTGAGGAAATTCTGGATGTAAATCTGATTGATGAAGAGACTATACCTTTGTTTAATGCTTGGTTTCATGATTTTCTAGAACTTTCTATTATCAATGAAGGGGCGACTCCTTATGATAAATTGCTAGAGCACAACATACACTACACAAGAGATATTGACAGCCACATCTACCTGAAAGAGTGAAGCCTTCAGCACCATCTATGATCGCACATGCTTTGATGCACACCATCAACAAGTCATCTGGAAGTACTCATCAATTATTCATGATTAAGCATGGCGCAAATAAAAAGAGCTTTGCCAAATTGGAGAGCAATTGTACCCTTCTGTTTTAATTTATTTGCAACAGTAATTTAACAAAGTACTCCTGGATGAAATCCATGCTGTCAATGTTTGAGGGGCCAATTAGCATCCATATGCAGGATTTCACAACCCTTGTGTCCCTCTCTCTTTTGTCCAATAACGCCAAAGCTTCAAAGATCTTTCAGATTCCTACTTCCACTTCAGCTGGAATGACGAAGAAGCAATTCCTTGTATCCATGAAGTGATGATATGAGGTGGTGGTGAAGATGGAACACAGCTTTGATTGGTTTTGGGATGGTGAGAGTTTTGATTCCAGCCAAGCAAAGCACCAAGAAAGCCAGGCATTTATAAATATTGGTGAGGAACAACTTGGAGAAATGGCTATACAGATATTAGAAGGAAATTGAGTCATAATAACAACCTCCTAATAAATTCTACATAAAAACGTTCATATCCAACCATATAATATAGCACCAAATAAACTTGAGATAAAATTCTTGTTTCGGTTCAGGTAACACTAAAACCATAACCTTCAGTTATTAACCAATATATCCGAAAGAGAATTTGTTTTTCAGCAAAGAAAGAAAACACCCTACCCATTTCAACTAGGTCGGAGCATCATCCATTGGTTTCAATTACCAATGCCATCTCCAAATCTACTGCAATGATCTATGCCATCTCCAAATCTACTGCAATGATCTATGCCATCTCCAAATCTACTGCAATGATCTATGCCATCTCCAAATCTACTGCAATGATCTATGCCATCTCCAAATCTACTGCAATGATCTATGCCATCTCCAAATCTACTGCAATGATCTATGCCATCAATCACGAGTTCAAGGCAACAAGGGCAGAAGTTTCATCATCCAGCTCAATCCTATCCTTCTCCATCATTTTAAGGATGTCCCATGCTGATCTCTGAGCATTGAGGTACATTCTAAGGAATAGTTTATACAAAGGTAAAGTTGCAACACCCAAACCGTGAACAGCCTTAATATAGTGATTTGCATCTTCAAAATTTCCATGCTTCTCAAAGTGCTCTGCAATGGCCATCAAAATACTGTGCGATGGCCTCCACTCACAACGTTCCACCTTCAACACAGAAAAGCCTTTCTTCATGGCATCAATGGCTTTATCCATCTTTTGGATTTTTACCCATCCCTCCATTAGAATCTCCCACGTCTTGTAATTTGGGCACCCACCTCTCTCAACTGTATGAAGATGAAACGATTCAGCTTTTCCCATCAGTCCATTCCGTACATATGCACCTAGAAGCACATTGGAGACTCTAATATCATACTTGAAACAATTTGTCTCCCATTCTGCAAATACCTGCTCTGCTGCTACAAGATCACCTACCTTAACCAAGCATGAAATTACGCACATATAATCAGCACAAGGGATCCTCCCACCAACCGCTTTACTTGCTTCCCAAAGCCGAAGAACTCCCTCTTTATTCTTCAAAGATGAATACAACGTAATGAGAAAGAAGTAACCAAGCCGGCCATTAGTAGACAGCTTCATCTCCGCATCTTTAAGCACCAAAAGAGCTTTATCAACAAACCCTGCCTTGATATAAACATTAGCCAAACTAGCTAGCGTACTCCACCCCACCTCAACATTTTCATCACTCACCATTTCCTTGTAAACCATCTCCGCTTTGGCAACCTCAAAGACCTCACCAAAGGCACCCATCCAAAGATTATAAGAAAGAACATTTCGACATAACTTGTTTCGCTTCATCTCTGCAATCACAAGAGGCACTTTCTCATACTGAGACAAAGCCATGTAAAGCTTCATCATCTCATTGTACGGATGAGGGGTCACAAGGAGGCCCGAGGAACTCAACTTGATCATGAAACTCTCAGCTTTACTGATATCTCTTTCTTTCACATAACCATGTAAAAGAGGCAAAGACGCAGCTTTTTTAGAGCCTGAACCGGTAATTCGTTCAAAATACTCTCCAGCCTTATTTAAACCATTCACTTTAACAATCAATTCCATCATTAAAGCATGATGCCCCGGCGTTATGCGAAAGTTGTTTTGATTTTCCATCCATTGTAATATCTGTGAGCATATATATATATATATATATATATATATATATATATATATATATATATATATATATATATATATATATATATATATATATATATATATATATAGATAGATAGATACTAACAGATTCTATATAAAATAAATCCTAAAGAACAAAAACGGCAGAGGATAAAAAAGGGTACCTCAAGGGCTTGTTTGTAGCGCTTAGATTTAAGGAGCTGTTTAGAGATCAAATTGAGCTGGGAGAGCTTAACCTTGTTTCCGTTGTTGATCCAATCTTGAAGCACTCTGCTTGGGCTTTTCAGTCTCAAAATTTCAGTTTCAAGGCGGCTGCTGCTGCTGCTGTTATGAATATATTTATACTTGGTGCTGGCTTTACTGATTGGTAATAAAGATTTAAAGAGGTTTCTTGCTTCGAATTGAAGTTTATGGCAGTAACTGTTATTTCTCAGATGATTCGTTATCATTGACCGAATCGCCATGGAAGCACAAGCAGCTGCGTCGTTTGATTTTTTTTCGCAGCGAGCAATTCTCTCGCTTTTCCTTGTTCGGCCTGAACTAAACGTCGCCGTTGTAATCGTACTATATTTTAATCCTAAAAAAGGTTCAGTTCGCCTCTTTACTGAGTAGCATAGCCTTGGGAATTTCAATAAGTTGGGGCGGCAGGCTGGATTTTTGCCTTCTCCACCCCATTCCAACCTTGAATCAGACCTTTTTGGTGGTTCCTTGTTCCTATTTATTAGCATCCCCGGAGGTTTTTTTTTTTTTTTAATATGCTTTAATACATTTATTTAACATTTATTTATGAATAAAAAAACTCATTCAATCATTATATTTTATATTTTATATTTTAATAAAAATAAAAAATAATATTATTTAACTTATAAAATAAAAAATTGATGGCTGGAAAAATATTTTGATTTTTTGTTAAATTCTGTCTAAACTGGAATCCTAAACTAAAGCGAAATAAGAATCAATCAAATTTTGTCATTGCATCCAGAATAATCTATAAGAAATCCTTTTTCTTTCCTTGCCTTTCACTTTCATTTTCTCACATTTTCTTCTTAAACTATATTAAAAATAAATTTTTTTTATGCTATAATACATTTATTTATTTATAAGTAAAATATTATGATATTTTAATAAAATAAAAAATAATATCATTTAACTTTGAAAATTTTTTAATAGATCAAATAATTATCAATTAATTTTAAATTAAATTCATACTTAATAAATCTAAACTGATTCTGTAAGACAAACTGGAACTCGATCGACTTAATAAATGGTTCAATTTGGATAAGTTAAAAAATTAGAATAAAAAAAAACTCAATAAAACTTATGACTTAAGATTGACCTATATTTTCTTAAATGTATTTTTTAGATAAAAACCCTTATATATATATTAGTTGAGTATTAATCATTTTTAAAATTTATTATATAAATATTAAAAAAATATTTTATTTTTTAATATGAGATTTAAAACCTTTTAATATATATACTTTATATTTATAAGAAAAAAATATTTTTTTATGCAGGAGAAAATTGTTTTTGGTTTAAATACTTCAATATTAAAAAATAATATACTAACAAAATATTTTTTATTGTAAAATAAAAAAAATTTGAAATAATTTTTTAAACTTTATTTTATTTAAATATGTATAAGCAATATTTATATGATTTATTTTTTAATTTTTTCATATAAAATATTAAAATTTTATTTTTTAAAATTTTTGAAAGTTAACCCATATAATTTAAAACCAAATTCTTTAACTAAAAACCCTCAATTGATCTAATATCCATAATTAAATTATCATTCCATCCAAAATAATTAATAGAAAGTCATTATTATTATTATTATATTCTGTCACTTTTTTTTCCTCATATTTTCATCTTAAACTTCGTAAAAATAATAAATAAAACCATTCAAATCTATACAAATTCAAAATATAAACCCAAAAGTGAACTTGCCATTAGTTTTTATCAATTAGATGCGACCATTAGAATAGCCTGGAAACTTCGGGATCTGCACTAAGGTTATTAAGACTGGGAGATGGTTATTGGGATATATCTAACTTTATAAGGGCTTAAATGTAGTTTATCCAAACAGGAAAACCCCTTGCCTGCCCCCGAAGCACGCAAAACATTGCATTAAACCCTAAACCTCCAGCTGTAAAGATTTATGGAATCGGTGGAAACTCGATGATTCCTGCCAAACACGATGGCTTCATTTTTTCGCTGATTATTATCATTATTATTATTCTTTTATGTTCTTTTAATTTTGAATTGTAAAATTTGTTTTCGATTCCAAATGCGACGTTGCAGCTGGCTAGGACTAGTAAGTGAAATGAAATTTGAAATTTCTACTCTTCGATTGACAACAAAAATAAATTACTCTCTCAACTGAATTTCGTTACAACAAAGCAGCTGTATCTATCTCGTGTTGATAAGTTATATGGCAATTTATGCTGTGCAGTGCCGGCGGCATTTGCTATCATCCACCGCGGTTGATCGTGGGGATCGCCTTCGAAAAGTCTCGTCGTTTTCTGATAGATGTAAGCTCTCTCTGTTACAATAACAAACCTGATACAATGAATCTTGGCTTTAGCAGCAGCAGCAACAATCTGTGGAGCCTGATGCTAATTTTTGCGCTTTTTTTCTTATTTTTTTGTTCTTTGATAAGTTTTGAACAGTTGCGGCCATTCTATTAGCAAACCTCCTAATTTCAGAACTACAGAAACTCATTTGATTAAACGGAGATACATTCATGCCACAGGTTTATAATTTAATTATCTATGAGTATTTTATTTTATTTTTAATTCAAAACCTAAGCTTGCTTTTGTTTTTTCTTTCTTTCTTTCTGTATAGGAAGTTGCAATGCTAAGGAACGCAGTTTTTACGAAATTCTTGGTGTTTCTGAAAATGCTAGCAGAGAAGATATCAAAACGGCTTTTCATTTGGTGAGTGATTTTGAGAATTTTATGTCCTGCATCTTACTTCACTTGTTAATTGGAGTATTAGAGATCCATCAAGCTTCTGTTTGAGTGGTTGGCTTTGCTTTGTATTTGCAGCTTGCAAAGAAGTACCATCCGGATGCAAATAAAAATAGTGCTAGTGCGAAAAGGAAATTTCAAGAGATTAGGGAAGCCTACGAGGTCCATACCATTAATTCATCAGCAAAAATGTTTATTCTTATCTTCGCTTTTAATGTTTATTTTAAGTGATTATTTTTCACTATTTAACTGCCAAAGTTAGTATTTTTTTGATGAGGAAAAACTTGTAATTACCAGACTTTAAAATGGTTGTTGATCTTGCTGAAATTTAAGTGATTTATTTTTTCATGTCAGACGCTGCAAGATTCTGAGAAGAGGGCACAATATGATGCGGTAAGAAGCTTCTTTTTTACTTTTATGTATTTGGTTTTTAATATTGGTAGCTTGTTGAATTTCTAAATTGCTCAAACTCGCCAGTCAGCATTGGTTATCCTTCGCTATTATGCAATAATTAGTCTGAACATTGGAGTTTGTGTTTCTGTTATAGTTTTAAACTAACTGGATTTCTTCTTATTTTTCATGGATCATATTTTCTGATGAAGATGCGTACTGGAGGTTTCAATTATGGTGCTGATAGTGCAGAGGGATATGGTGCTGATGATGCAGCGGGATTTAGATATGGTGCTGGTGATGCAGGGGGATTTAGATACACTTATCGAACTAATTTCTCTAATTCATTCCATAAAATATTCTCTGAGGTACACTGTACTAGTTTATATCCTTTATCTTCCTGTAGTATGTTTCTCTCACTTGTCCAATAACTGAAACCACAACACATTTGATTTCTTGCAGATCTTTGAAGATGAGGCCAATCATTTTGCATCTGATATTCAGGTGAACTTCTTTCATGCCTTTAATTTCCAATGCCTGTTCTGAACTGACATATAGTTTGCATGCTAAAAACTCGTGTTGTATTTTCATATTTCATAGGTTGACCTAGTTCTCTCCTTTTCTGAATCTGCTAGAGGATGCACAAAGCATGTGACTTTTGATGCATATGTTCCGTGTGATTCTTGTGGTGAGTAGAACTATTATTTTCTGGGAATAATTGAATTTGGGTAATCTAGCAGCAAAAGGCTTTTCTGTAAATGAATAGTTCTTTTCTATCTTTGCAAAAAGCTTGGCTATTCAAAGGTCATTCATGCATATTCATTGTGAACATGAATCAACAGTAGATTTTTTCTTTACTTTTTAATTGCAACAAAAGCACTGCAGTAGTGAATAAATCTTTTGAAACCCCTATACCTTTTTCATTCTTGACACAGAAATTTCAATTTGTGAATTTTTATCTAAAAAAAGAAACATATGGTAAGTTAATTGTTTCAAGATATCAGTGGACAATTATTAATTTTCAACGGTGAAAATTTAAATCAAACTCAGATATCCTCTGCACATTAAACATAGGGTTACAATGTTCTTTTTCACTTCCTGAAAAGTGCTGGGAGTGAAATTTCTTTCGGCAGACAGACAAAACAGGTTAAAATTGAAAAAGGAAAAAATCAGACATGATTGAAATTCATATTTTTTTATGCTATCCGTTCTCCTTTCAAAAAGTCTATTGAAACTTCTTTACCCAGTATAAATGATTGATTTTCCTCCTTCCTGTCAATCCGAAAATACACGATGTAGATGGTCATGGCTATCCAGCAAATGCCAAAGCAAGCATTTGTCCTACTTGCAGAGGTGTGGGGAAAGTAAGTGTTCTGAGGATCTACTCTGATTATAATTAGTGGATAAAAACCATGCTGTAATGACCCACTTTTGTGAAAATAATTTTCTTTTCTGCTATTTAGGAAGGCTGGAAATTTTATATCTATTTGTTTGTGTCTATTAACCCCCAAATTTACATCCAGGTTACAATTCCTCCATTTACATCAACTTGTAGCCATTGTAGAGGTTTGGGCCGGATAATTAAGGTCTGACATGACTTCCAGAGTTTAACTTCTATTTTTATTTTGGAACTATTGGTGATGATTTATCCATTTTCACAGGAACACTGTATGTTATGTAGAGGATCAGGGGTTGTTGAAGGCATTAAGGATGTTAAAGTTACAATACCAGAAGGTTTGTTTAAATTCATGTGATTAATGAAACCATGCTGGGGTACTGGGACCTGAGTTTAAGTTTTTTACCACTCAATAATAGGAGGAAAAGGAGGTTAATAATTTTTTCATTTAGTTTGTCTTCTGATAATATTTAAAGCTGTTTCCTATAGATAGTTGGCTAAATGAGCCCTTTTGCTCAATGTCCTTACATTGAAGACTAACTGCAGTATTGTGAAAACGCTAAATTTGTGATTGATGAAATTGTAGGGTTGTGTTGGGAAGTTCTGTTAATGATGCTGCTTGTATGTGTTGTGGGTAGAAAATGCATCATTATGGTTCACTATGCAGTCTTTTAAAGAAAAACTATCTATAACAAAAGGTGTCTAAATGAATAGCTTTATAAAAAAAAACTGAGAAATTAAGCTGAGGATGCAGACTTTTAAGCATTAGAGTCCAATCCAAAGTCAAAGTCAACAACATATGATTTTTTTTTTGTGCAGAACTTTCTTGATGCATATCATCTATCTTCATGAAAAAAATTATTATTTTTTGTTATTGAAGTTCATCTGTATATGTAATTTTTCCAATTTCTTTTTGTAAATGGATTAGGTGTGGGTTCTGGAGATACGATCCGTGTGCCAGAAGCTGGTAATACAGGGGGACGGGGAAGTCGATCTGGCAACTTATTCATTAATCTTAAGGCACATCCTTACCTTTAGTTAAATTTCCTCTCTCATGCAGTGAACTATCTTTCATTTCAACCTTTATATTTTATACAAGGGACCATATTAGCATTTTATAAAGGCAGGCTTTGTGTTGATTTAAGTATGTCCTATTAGTCCGAACCTGATGCAGGACCTGAAAATTGACTAATGAATCCTCAATAGGAATCTGCTTGGAGACTTGCTCTATTTGATTTCCTAGGCTTGCACTACGCTGTCTTCTTCCTCCATTGATCTGCGATTCTTGTGGCATGAGAACTTCATTTGTAGGATTTTCTCGTCAGCTGTTATATCTACAAAGTTGCTTTAACTTTTGAATAAATTAGTCAGGATGGAAAGAGTCTGTATGTGGTGCTAGCTGCAAACACCATTGTCTGGAATATAGTGTATGAACGTGTTCCAAAGTCTTACCTTCAATGGCTGTTTCCAAAAACATAATGTTCATTATTCGTTTAAGAGTTCTTGTTTCCGATGCTTTATGAAATTAAGTTTGCTGTGCTAATGCAGGTTGCTGATGATCCTGTCTTTTCTAGAGAAGGTGCAGATGTTTATGTTGATGCTAATATTAGTTTTACACAAGTGAGAACTGAAATCCTATGCAAAATTCTTGTTGAGCATGTGTCCTTTTGTTGTTTTATCTATGTGACTTGGTGCAGCACTTTCAAGTGTACTTGTTCCACCCACCATCAAAATATACTGTTTCTATTTGTTCAAATTAGTGTTTCATTTCTTATTTGTTGAGTCATTCCACCCTGATCAGCATGAATCCTTCACTCTGATCAAAGCAATAAGTACCATATATTAGTTTTATGAATTTGGACACAAAAGAACAGTATTTTTTTCAATTAATCAAGGTTTGTATTTTTGTACAGGCAATTCTTGGTGGTAAGGTTGAAGTACCAACATTGTCAGGGAAGACACAAGTAAATGTAATAACCTTTTACCTCCAACTTAATCTTTACATTTCTTTTAAATTATTCTAGAATCAACTGCTTCAATGTTTTACTGTACATTGTCCAATGAGTTGAGGGATGTTTTGTTGTTCAACTTGGTCATTGTTTTCACTTGAACTGCCAGAGCCATGCTTAATTGGGGATACTGCCTATGAAAGAACATGCAGTTTAAGATGTATCAGCCTTCGCTAATTTTTTCTGGTATTTGAAGCAAGTGAATTGAACAAAGTTTTTCAAAAATTGGCCTATGTTATGTTATGAAGACTAACTTGGCCCTGAATTTTGATATCATTTGTATTCATTGCCATGGAAAAATCTGGAAATGTGATCACAGGGGCACAAATTGTTCACCCATGCTTTTGTTAGAATAGTCTTTTTAATTTTAGGTCATATTAAATAGTAATATTTCATGATTTCGTAAGTTCAAATTCCATGCTACACCCAGTGATGTTAATACCATTTCCCAGTTTCCATCCTCTCTGAAATCTAAACTTGCTTCTTCTTTTTTTTAATATATATGTTATATCACACCAATTTTTATTTGTTTTTGTAAGCTTTAGACGTGTCTCCACTATTTTAGCACCAATTTTTATGCTCTGTTATATTTCACCGGCAGATACCAAAGGGAGTTCAGCCAGGTCAACTTGTGGTACTAAGAGGCAAAGGTACATTGGATATCCAAATCCTGCTTTAATTTATTCTTGCTAGATTTCCAATAAATATGATTACAATTTCAATTTCCTGCAGGTCTATCAAAGCATGGTTTTCTTGTAGATCATGGAGATCAATATGTGCGGTTTTGCATTAACTTCCCCATGTAAGCCTTTTCAATTCAACCAAGTAGTCTTTAAAGTAAAATATTGTATAATGTCATGTCCTGTTTCTATTTGAAATTATAGTTTGCACCTGAACACAAAATACATGGACCTTGCTTGGCCTGGCACCTAGAATGTGGTTTTAATGTGCAGCACCTTCTGGCAGAGAGGTTATTGTTAAATTGTGACTGTAAATATGATTTTTTTTTTTTTTTACTCTCAGAACGCCCTGTGAATTTTACAATTATCAGGTCTGGAAGATCCAACAGTATATATTGGTCTATTTTCCAATCATGTTTTATGTATTCATTTTCTTTCTAAATGTTTTTTTTTTACTTCTATGTATCCAATAACTTTGTATTTTTGGATGTTATTTGCTGCAGAATATGCAGCAAGATGCAATGTCTAATATTTTTTTCACGTTTTATTGTGATTTTAGTGCAATTAATGAGCGCCAACATGCTATTTTGGAAGAATTTGCCAAGGAAGAGATAAAAAATGAAAATGACACTTTCAATGAAGGAAACTGGTAAGACTTGTTTGTTCTTCAGAATATGCTTGCTATCCACTGCTTCATGTTCTCGCAACATTGCTGCCCATGAAGACCATATGGATAAGGAGTAGGCTTCATTCTAATTGCATATTCATGCTCTCACACACTGAGATCATGGTCTGTATATGACTACTAAGTATTTGGACCTATGCCTGAATAGCTTACCTTACTATCACTGAATAGTTTATGAGACCACAAACACTTGTAACCATCGTCTTGGAGACAAATTCAGAATTGTACCATTACAGTAGTGCTTGTCAATTGAAGGCTTTGTTCTTTTCTTGCTCTTGTTTTGTAAAATTTTAATTTGGACAATCATTCATCAATTGGCCCTATATTTGACTGCATCCATGGCTCATTTGGTAAATTTTTTGTTCTTGCTGTAATGAACATCCTGAATTGGATAACAGGCTTTATCAGCAGCTATGTACTGGTTGAACTTACAGGTGGCAGCAACTTCTTGAACGGGTGACGGATCCTAGGTTTATGCTAAAATTTTCTATGCTCATGCTAATCCTGCTGTTCCTTAACAAAACCATGATTTGAAAGCTGACTCACGGTGGCTGCTGGAGATACATGCACCAATTATGCTGTCATCTGTTGTGGAGCTTTACTTTTATAGATAGAAGGTACCGATTTCTAACACTTAAATAGAAGCGTTTCTACATTTGATGGTTGTGCTTGAAAATGTAGGACCGATGATAGTTATTGATTATAATGCTTTGTACCTATTTGTGGCACGGAAAATATTATCCAGAAATTGATTAAAAGTTGTTCGTAGTTGACCACGTTAATTTATCATGTGCCTCAATGACGTTGATTTCTGCTCTCCATAGTAATACCGTGATAGGTTTGTATGAAGTAGGGATAAAGATTCAGATTACTTGCAAGCAGCGGAACAAAAAACGTACACTTTTTTTCCCCATTCGATGCAAATGATGTCGTTGTAGGTGTGGAAGAATGAACAAATACACTATTTGATGGGCAGGCATGCTTCATCATGGAAGAGATGGATACTATTGGAGCCTCTCTCTCTCTCTCACCCATGCTGGTGGATGACATGAAGGGATTGCTTTACCAATAATGGGGACACTACCTCACGGAGCTGGGCCTTGCTCATGACTGCGGTGATTTAAATATGCCAGAATGATATACATACCTTCTTTTTTTTTTTAAAGTATTTTGTCTGAAATTATACGAGGGTCATGGTGTATACAAGAGCATGAACATGCTAATCTGACCTAAGATTGTCCATTGTAATTCAGACGGTTGGAGCCCAGTGAGAAGCTTCCAATGTATCTCAGAACGGGGTATTTGTCCATCTAAAAGCATAATTTCTGCCGCTCTCAGTTCAAGTACAATCAACTTGGTAACCTAGTTTCGTCCTCCACGTTTTGGGAATAATTTACTATTTGTCTGATTTTTAACCTCTTCGTCTTCCTTTTTTCTTTGAACTCAGTTAATCCCCTTGGTTAGTTGCAACCAAGTTTAAAAACCTTGAAGGAAACTTCGCCACTTTCTCAAGACAGGAGTTTTAAAAAATGAATCTGGAATGGCATGATCTAAATGGATTGGTGGATAATTACTCTGTTTTTCCGACCATATATAGAGTTGATTCTGCCAGTTCCTTTGTTCATGTTAATATATATGGTGTCTGAGATTTGAAGAAGTGAGAACCGAAATGAAGGCTCTCATTGCGATGAACATGAATGCGTTTTAAAAAATCTATATATATGGAGTCTGAAATTTGAAGAGGTGAGAACCGAAATGAAGGCTCTCATTGCGATGAACATGAATGCGTTTTAAAAAATCTGGCTATTACAGCACTGTTGCAACAAACGCTCAAGCATTTCCTGCCGGATTATTACTTGGAGCCATCGAAGTTTCTGGAGCTGCTAGTTTCTTTTTCTTGTTTTCTTTCATCTCACCATAGAAGTAAGAAACAAAGCCCCATAGCGAGAGTCCAAGAGCGACACCCTTCTCTGCTTGAAATTTCTCTTGGAAGAAAATAACTGAGAGGATTTCAGTGGCCGGAAGGAGAGCAGAGATTAGAATACCGGATAGCAAAGAGGAGGCAGAAAAGATGACTCCTATGGCTCCCAAGAAGAAACACTGCCAGATAATTGCACTCCACACCAGCACTACGTAATACTTGACTTCTCCCAGCTCAAAGTTTCTTGCTTCTCTTGGAATCGCCTGTAAGAGAAAAACCTCAAGTGACATCCATATGACGGATTTTAAACATTTTTTTAAAAAAAAAAACACATGGATCGGCAAAACTACTCGAACACTTGCCATAGCCATGCCCGAAATTCCTATTTTACCATGCTGGTGTAAAGATAAGTTGTTGTTTTTTCAATCCAGAATATATGTAGAATCTAAACTCTACAGGAAAATTCTTATTTTATCATGATTCTATATGATGATTTTAGCAATAATATATTCTGAATATATATAGACTCTAAACCAAAATTCCACCAGCTTTTTATTCGCTGATCTATTCTCCTTATTGTCTATAGAATGGAATGGAATGGAATAATTAGAAGGCCGGCAAGAGAAACGGCTATTACTGAGAATAGAAAGATTATATTTTAGAAAAACCAACCTGGAAGTCTTTGTTAATGAGCATCCCTACGGTACAAAAGACAGTAGCAAGCAAACACATAACCATCTGAATCTCCATCACAAGCGTGTAGTTCATTTCCTGCCTGGACTTCTTGTATGTCAATTCCACCAACGGCAAGATTAAGCCATACAGAGCAGCAGCTACAAGCGTCATGATAAAACCCAGTATATACTCTCTACTCGATTCATGAGCAGGCTTGTCACTACCTGTATGCATAGCCAATACTCCAGCCCCCACAGTCAGTAAAACAACAGCGTTTATTGAATAAGAAGTGAACTTTTGTTTAACTAGAAGGAAAGCAAAACCAGCTGTGAAAGCTAACTGTGTTGCAATAATCAGAGCAGAAGTTGAAACAGGAAGACGGGCTACACCATAAGCGTAAAGATAGTCATCCAGACCAGTAAGGACACCAATGGTGGCGGCAGCAATGAACAAAGGAGGTTTCATATAAAAGAGTCTAGTGGTGGGGTCGGTTGCACGGCGGTGAAAGTAGGACAAGGCAATGGGGATTAGAATGATGGGCCAACCGCCCGTTTCAAGCCAGGCAGAGAGCCAAACACGTTTGCCTCCATGGATGAAGTAGAGGCGCATTATTAGAGGACCACCACAGTTTCCTATGGATAGTACGAGGCAGTTGAAGATGAGAAGGGCTTTTTTCATGGTTGTTTTAACTTGAGTCTCTTCTTTGGCCTCCATGATGAATAAAGATGAGAAATTGTACCACCGTGAGAACAAATTGCGCTCCTATATAGGGCCACCGATACAACAAACAACGTGAGTGTGTTGGTTCAATATATATTGAGAAAGCAAGTCTTTGGAGTCGTCAAAGAGAGGATAGTGTAGAGATTGTTAGTAATGGACATCGTGAATATCCTCTTTTTTATCCCAGTTTTTCTCTTGTTTTTCAAAAATTATATTTTTAGACCAATTTAAATTTTAGAATTTTATCTAATTTATGATGATGAAAACAAAAAAGAAGAAGAAGAGAGTTTAGAAAGTGAAATAAGAAGGAAAAAAAAAGAGCCTAAGGTGATTAGGAACAAAGAATATAAATTAAGATTATGTAAAACAGAAGAAGAAAAATAAATAGTATCAAACAAAATTTGAAAATTAATGAAAGAGATTCTACATATTAGAAAAAGAAAAATTAATTAATTAATTAAGAATCCATGGTAAAAAAGGAAACAATATAATTGACTAACATTCTATTTTGCAAGGGATCACAAACATTATAAATAAAAAAAATATTCAGACAAAGATATTGTAAACATAGAGATTGGAAAAGAGAGACTCTTGCCATAAAATCTAGTCAAACAAAAAATATAGAAAAGAGAAGTAATGAAGCACGAGAAAAACAACAAAAAAAAACAATAGCAATCCAAATTTTCTAGCAGTAGACTTAAACTTCTTAACCGTCGATCTTCCATCTCAAGGGAGGGTGGTAAGGAAGAGGAAGAAGTTGCCTACCATGCAGTGTGGTCCATGCATCCCAAGACTCGATGATGTGTGACAAAAAGGCACTTCATTATAGATTGGTTGTCCTGTACGTGTAACACACTCGCTTATACTATTTTTTTCCAGCACCTTTTTTTCTTCAAGTTCCACCCTCTTCGGTCCAAATCTAACCAATCTAACGAATGGAAAAGGTTAACTTTAATCTCATATGTGATTTATTTGTTGTTAAAAATCTTTTGTGATTTGTTTTGTTAAATTTTGAATTGCAAATGTATGCAGTTTTTAATAAATTCACAATGTATTTATAATTTTTTTTCTTTTCATGTTCAATTTATTCATTTATATTAATTAAGGTGGTTAAAATATTTACATAATTTATGATGAATATACATGGTAAAATAATTAATTTATAGAGGGTTAATATAAATTAGATAATTAAAAAAACCAATTTAAATCTATGTTATTTGTTATTTCAAATCTTGCCCCCAAATCAAGAAAAAAAACATGGGTTAAACTTTGTTGTCAAGCTAAAATTCCAAATCATTATCCTATGAATTCTTACTTCTAAATAAACATATGTATTTAGTTTAGGTAAAATAGGTGTTTTTATTATAAAATCAAATAATAATGTAGCTTATTTTAGTATAATATTTGAGATTGATTTTCATCTTCCTTTTAATATAACCAGCTCTTTACCCAAAAATATCTAAAGATTAGTTAGGGTTCATAGTAACTATAAAATTAGATAGATTGCACGACTAAAAGATTGATATTTTTTTTCAAGTATAGGAATGTTGAAATAATAAATAACCCAGCAAGATTGGGGTCGAACCATAAGAAAATTAATTATATAAATTATAAATAATGATGATGAGTTAAAGAGAATCTTGAGATGTAAGATTAATATAAAGATTAAACAATAATAAAAATAGTTGTCAAGGTTAGAGGATCCATCAATGGTATTTCAAACAAGTATAATATAAACTCTTTTTATTACTCAACTAGAAACCCAATATAAAGGAGGTTCCAATCGGATAATTTACCATTAATAGCTCATTATAAATTATTAAGATGATTATATTAATTATCTTATTTAAGTAACACCAAACTTTTAACTATTGTCAGGAATTTATGATACTAACTTATATTAACAGCACATCAAGTTTTTTTTATAGCATAGGTGTAGATTATACTATACGGTTGGCTATGAAGGATCAAACATTTATTGTACCAAGTGTTATACAACACAAATTTAGATTAACCATTTAATAAGTAAGGTATTAAGAATTAATAAGATCAAAATGATAAGACATGTTAATAACAAACTTTCTTGGATGTAAGCATGGAAGTTCATATTAAGTTTATATCATACATACCTTAACATCATTGGTAAAACCTTTTCAACTTAACATAATAAACTTAACTAAATATTATAAAGAAGATAAATATAAATAAACAAGATGAGAACATAATTATATAAGTATAGTAAAGGAAATAAAAGATATAAATAAGATATTAATGAAACTATAACATGAAATAAAACTAGAACATTAAAACTACAAAGAAAGAAAGCGAACATTAAAACTACAAATAAAGAAAGCAATAAGAAAATAATCTTGATCTGAAAACCAAGATGCCTAAATGCACGACAAATGCCTCATTTTATAGGCCAAAAATTGAAACTATTGATTTGTTGGTCAATTGTTGAGTGGGTGGCCATATCTTGACTTGGTGACAATCTTTATCTTCTTGTTTGAACAAAATGTCATTACTAACATCAGAATTCGAACAGATTTTCTTCATAAATATTTTAGAAAATTATTTCAGCTTTCTAACTAAAAAAATCAGTGAATTTGGACTTCTAGAACTTGAGATATAGGCTGAAAACAGAGTAGTAGCTAAGTTGCAGGACATATTCAAACTTCTACGTTGTTGCTATAATTTGAACTTGAAAACAACATTTTTGAATCTTGGACTCTATATGAAAGTTTTAGGCCTATGTCTTAGCTTTCCATTCATATAGTGTAGATCTTAATCCATGTTCTACAACTCCAGTTATGATCCAATAACCGAATGGTGATCTAGTTTGGATTGAACTAGCATTTCTTTTCTAAGCTTAGCCCTCTCTTTATCTTCTCAATTTTAGTAGTTAAACTCATCAATCAATCCCTTGATTCATGTGATAGGTTGCATTTAAGATGAATATTTACTATAAATTAAAAGTATCTTATATTATTAGATATGTTATTATAAAATATGTTTTAGCTAAGGAGTTATTGATACTTCAAGTGCAAAATGATGATATAAAACCTTGATAAAAATATACTTTTAAG